CCGCTTCGGCACGTGCAACGGCCGTGGAGCAGATCTGCACACAGAGCTGACATTCCAAAGCCAGGTGTTTTTGTCTTTTTACATGAGCTCTCGCATGCTGCATTCTCCGTCCTCTAGCTCTGCCGCGGCGGCTTGCTTCTGTGCCTCCAAGTCCTCCCAACTTGCGCATGGAATCCCAGAACAACCACCCAACAAAAGCCGCTGCATTACCAGAACGCAGTAACGGTAGTGATAGCACTGACAGAAGCGACAGCAACAGTAACCACAGTAGCAAAGCCTTACAGTGCTTTGCCTTGCGGTGCCTTGTAGCCTGGAGCTGCCCGGAACTTTGCATTATTGGCCCTAAGTTGCTCATGCCTGGGGTCTGGGTCGAAATGGTTTTTCGGATAAGATGAGTCCGGAAAGGAAGGCCAAAGTTCGTGGGACCACATCCTGGAATTTGATGATTCGTTGGGCTGAATCCTCCAAACTCCCAGTTTTGGTGAACAGCCAAGCCAAGACGATAACAGGAGGAAAGGCGCTCCAGGGGTTAGCTGCGTTATTGGAAAACTGTTTCCTTAGAACTCCAACGACATCTGGGAACTACTCCTGCAAAGCCTGCTCCGAACGCTGCAACTTGGTCGTGAGCTCGTCGTTTGTCGCCTCCAGCCGGACACTAGGCCACGAGGCGACACTCATGATGGCATTTTGCATGGCACTGGACAGACTGACAGCAGGCTTCTGCCCCATGCAAGTTCTGGGAAGCTCGGACTTAAATGCTGCCCATTCTTCAGCTCCAGCAAACCAAAAAAATGCGAAAACTACTTGTGCAGAAGTCTGGAGCAAGTTGCCTGCAGTTTCTCCGCTGCGAACACAGATTCCCGGAGCTCACTCTCATGACTCTCGACCTGCAGGCCAAACCCAACTTACCGCGGCCATTTCTGCGCTGACTGCTTCCGCTGCCTTCTTTCGGGCAGCGACGAGCTGTGCGGCGGCATCGGCAATTTCGGCCTTTGGCCAGCCAGTTACATAAAATACTTCGTGGTCACTGCAACCACATATACATATCTATCATCTCTCTCTTTCTCTCTCTCTCTCTCTCTCTCTCTCTCTCTCTACATTTGTTTCTTTAAGCTGTTTATGTATTTGTACATATAAAAGGTATACCAGCAGCTGCCTCGAGGGTTTGCGATACGGCCGTGAGCTTTTGCTGCTTTACTTCGACCTGATCGCGCAGAATTCCGGGATGACAGCGCGCATGGCGGTACACAAGAAGGGCCTGCGTCTGAAGCTCTTCCACCTGGGACTGCAATGCCGCGTTCGCATCCTTGCAAGCACTACATACTCGACATGATGCACCGGGTTTGTATGACATGCGGCTTTGCCTGCAAGGCCTGTGCTGCTGCAACCACCTGCAGAAGATTGACTAGTCAGCAACATCACACCGAACTTGAACAGACAAGGTTGGGCAAACCCTCATTTGCAAGCAATATGCTCGAATCACGGGGTTTGGGAAGGGCTTCATCCTGGGTATCGAAGCAGCTTCTCGTTTGATCGCAGAAGGTTCCTGACATCAGGCTTTGCAAGGCCAAAACGAGGCAGGATTGGAGTGCCGGTTCCACACCCGTTAGCAAACACAATGCTTCAATGACGGGTTTGGAAGACAGGCACTGCATCACCGCGTTTTGACGGCCGCAGCTGGGCCTCTGGAAGCACACTTGCGGAAGCCTGAGATGGCAGGAGGACACCATGTATTCTCCCGAGGCTGAGATGTTGGTGTGAGAGGCATCGGCTTGGTGCGCGGACAAGCTCTGCCGAGAGTTTAGCTGAAAGCTTCAATTGCCGCTGATATGCCGAAGAGCTGCTGCTTCTCCACGAAGCGTTTTAATCAACTCCTTGCTTGCCTCCTGCAGCTCGAGAACGCTTGGAACGCATGTGCAAATACCACGAGACAAAGACCTGTCCTGCTCCTGCACGGCCGCCAAAAGCTCACCGCAAAGCTCAGCGAACTGAGCACAGACGTCGTGGTTGCGCACAGTGCTTTGCAGATTATGCAGATTCCAAAACAGCTCGGCGATATGAGATCTCCCAAGCATGCCTATACCACTGCGAACGTCCCAACGACGTCGTTAAGCTTAATGCGGGCCTGCTTAGATTACCTTCGACTGCGGTATTTGGTAGCCTGTCTGATTTTGTCTTGGCTGTTTGTTCCTGCCACAATGGACATCAACCCAGCTGTGCAACCCAACAGCAGAACGCCCGCGATGGTGTTCGGCAGTACGAGACAGGGGCTGTAGTGTGCAATTGCTACATTCGCAATGTACTTTGCGATTCACGAAGCTGCACAGGAACAACGATTCCCCTTATTTGTGTAGAGCACCTTTTCGTGAATGATTTCCGGAATTCGTAGGTCGGTCATTTGCGCGGCGGGCTATCCTCGACCTTTCAAGGACACCATTGGCTGAATCTTACTTTCCAACTGTTGTGGCCCTGCTTCACGACTCCCGCCATAGTGCCCGCCTCACACTTTATCTCTTCTTTCTTGTGTTGGGCTTCTCGGCGTTGTCAGGTGGCTCTGCGGGTTGTGCTGGTCTGAGACAAATCATTGGCGAGTCAGGCTCCTCCTACATCATGAGGCAACACACTGTTTTGAATGGTAAACATCGTATTTCAACAACTTCACTTCCTGCTGCATCGCAGGTCGTGCGAGCAGCAGGCGTGCGGGTTTTTACCACCAAGAATGTCCGGACTTGGCATTCCCGATCATAAGCGAGGCAAAAGACATCTGCTGACAAGCGCTGCGCTAACGACGTGTTAGCCGAAATCCTACTAGGGTGCAGTGGCTCCTTTTTTTTTGGATGGTCGAGTCGCATAGAATGCGCCCGGCCGAGCACACCGCCGCGAAAACCGGTGCCGGTGCCGGGGTGCGCACTTCTGCGTCCGCCCGGTGGGGCGGGTGACGGCCGTATATAAGTCTCGATTGAAACCTCCAGGATGGAGTGGGCGGGAACTCAAAAGAAGGCGATCGAGCCGGCAAGCTGCGGTTCGATCGCTGACGCTTGTTCCTACACGCACACGTGCATTACACAACAAGCGCTGCGCTAACGACGTGTTAGCCAAAATCCTACTAGGGTGCAGTGGCTCCTTTTTTTTTGGATGGTCGAGTCGCATAGAATGCGCCCGGCCGAGCACACCGTCCCGAAAACCGGTGCCGGTGCCGGGGTGCGCACTTCTGCGTCCGCCCGGCGCACCCACCTCCCACCAGGCGCCGGCACTGACTACCAAAGCAAGGTCTAGCAGCCTCTCAGGGGCCTCGTGGCAGGCGTAGTCGATGTCGGACGCCGCCCTCCCGAGGATCACCATGACGTCCCTTTCGGTCGGGCTCCGGTCGGCCTTGATGGCCCTTCGCCGCCTGGTTTCGTCGGCCCAGCCACGGCTTATCCCGTGCCCGGGGGCGGTCACAGGACCCGTCCCGGTCCTGTACGCGGACGGCTTCTGAGAACGGCTGGGGCTTTGTGCTCCTCCTCGAGGGCCAGGTGTTCTACGACTTCGGCATCGTCAAGCCCGAGTACCTCAAGCCTTTCGGCTTGGGCGGTCCAGCCGGAACCGTCAACGGGAACGGCAACGTCCCGCCCGGCGCAGGAGCAGGCGCGACCGGGCTCGGAGCCGCAGTCGGGGCCAAGGCCGCCGCGCGGGCCGCAGCCCAGGCATTCCACTGAGCCCTGGCCTCTTCCCACATGTGGGTGAGGACCGCCCGGGCGGTAGGCAATTCGGCCGAGCGGGTCGATGATGATCTGGGCGAAGCGCTCCGCCGTGGGCGCCATCAAGGCCAGGGTGGCCGTGCGGTCCCAAGTAGCGGCGCAGGAACTCGCCGGCGCCCGCCTCAGGTCGAAGTCGACCAGCGCCGAGGATGCCGAGGGTGGAGCCGCCATGACGAACAAGGCGAGGGCGGCGGAAATCAGGGCTGCTAGACGGCTAAGGGGGGTCGCAGACACAGAAAGCCGTGCTAACAGGTGACAGGCACAACACAACTGGCGGTCCTGCCCTGCTTTTTCTGCACGCCCGACGCGGGCGGCCGCCGCTTCATGGCGGGTTCACTCGAGCTCGGACTCTTCGTCCGGATGCTGCTCGCAATCGCTCCTGGAGAGCGGGACGCCGTTGCCCCAGCAGAGGCGGCACCAAAGGTACCGATTGGGGAGGCGCCCAAACAAACAAAGCCGCCCGCTCAGGCTCAACCGTGCGGCCGCACACCGCCCTGGAACGACGGCCGGGACGGTCGAGGCGATGAACCTGCCGATGCCAAGGCCCCATGCGGACCAAGTACCACGGCTGCCGGGCCCAAGTGCCGGGAGCGGACCGCCCCGAGGTCTTGAATGTCGCCCGGGCGCGGGCCAAGATAGTCGGGAGGCCCGTCCTCGGGTGCCTCATCCGAGTCGCCCGTGTCCGCCGGGCGCGGCGCCCAGGCAGGAGAGAAGATCACCAGGGGCGGGTCCATGCCAAAGTCCCGGTCGATGGATCCGCCCGGCGGGCGGTGTCTTCTTGCCCGCCGCGTCGGCAGGCGCAGCGGATCACCTCGGCGGAATGTGGGCGCCGCCAGCCCTCCAGGTAGGGATCCACGAACTCGTGCCGCCACACGCCCAGAGTCGGGGCGGAAAAGCCCAGCTCGGGCGGGCGCGAAGGTCACCGGAGGGTCCGCGATGGGCGAGCCACGGCGAGGAGGTGTTCCCACGCCGACCCATGTCCCCAAATCGGCGTTGGAGAAGAACGCGGGCACTTGGGCGGGCTGGGCCAAGACCAACAGCGGCACGGCCATGGCGAGAGGGGCGGGAAAGGCGAGCAGCTCGACCGACGGAGGGCACAGACATGCAAGAGAGTGCCAACTAACTCTCGAGACGCCCTCCGGACCCTCTACCCACCCTCTACCTTTCCCTTTTCACTCGGAAGTTGAGCCGCCCCGCCGAGGACGACAGTTCTCCCACTGCCTCCCAGGAGCCAGGAGGACCTGAGTCCACACTGGCCCTCTACGGGGCGGCGGAAATCCTAAAGAACTGGCGGCCCATAAGGCCAGCCACAGCCTCGGGCTCGCCAACTCGCCCGGTCGGAGTTCTGCTCCGTGGGGTCGGGGCGGTGGACCCGCTGGTCTTTTCCAAGTAAATAGGGGCAGGGCCGGTGCCCCCGCCAGGCTGAGACACTAGTGCCCACGATGGGGCGGATGGTGCCAAGGTCAGCGGCGCGGCCTGGGTGTACCTCTCAATGGCGCGGGACGACCAACACCCCAACAACTGGATCACCGCCAGTGGGACGCCCCGTGCGCCCCCGCCACGCGGCAGGCATGGCCACCAAAGACGGGCCGTTCCACTCTGGCCGGGTCCTTCCAGCTGACCTCGAGGCCGGCTGCGTCCACGACACCGACTCCCTGACGCCGCCGAGCCCGAGAATAATGGAGCCGAAGGCGGGCGAGCACAGGGGGTGCGTGGCCACACCACAGGCGCAGCGTAACGAGCGCCGGGTGAGCACCCGCTCACCCCCTTGGGCGGTCTTGTGGAGCGGGAGCTCCACCATCACCAGGTATCACCAGGTCCTTGTTGAGCACCACATCTCCGACTAGCACCCTGGCGATTTCGATCTCCCGGAGCATGAACCAGGTAGCCAGCACCAGGACGTCGGTGGCGTGAGAGACGACGGTCGGGTCGAAGGCGAGGTCGCAACGGTATGCCCAGGTCGGCGAGGGGGAAGGCTTGAGGCGCATCCCAGGAGGCCCCGCACGATGGACTTCACCGCCCTGTTGGCCAGGCGGCGCAGGACCGGCGAGACCTCCTGTCCGAGGTCGTGCTCCTGGTGACGGAAGGCGGCCAGGAAGTACTTGTTGGCGCTCCGATAGCCGCCCTTCTTGAAGGCCGCCCCCAGAGCCTCCATGGTCTCGGCGGAAACAGGCCAGGGATCGACCTTGCCCTGGTAAGACAGGGCCATCCATGTCTTCAGCCTGGACGCGTAGGGCCCTTTGGAGGTCTCCGCCAAATAGCCGTCGCGGAGCTCCTCAACCGATCGCTTGCGGTTCTCCGGCCGCAGAGCGTGCAGGCTGGCGCGCACATGCGCGCGCCGTCGAGGGACGTCGGGCCGCCCAGGCGAGTGGGCCGCCTGAATCACCGCCATCTCGGTCACCACCGCCGGTGGCGGTGGGGCGGCCAGTAGCGCCTCAATGGCGGTCGGCGCTATGCCCGCCTCAGCCAAGGCGTCGAGGAGCGAGAAGAGGTCGGGGATACACTTCACCCCCGCCGCCCTAATGGCCGGCAAATGTTCGGTCTGGCCAGCCCGAGCCGAGCCCTGCGAAGGGCTTGAACAGTCGAGTCTGAGCTTAGGGAGGGGGGGGGGAAGCAAGGCACTCAGAAAGACTCCCCTCCTTTTTGGCGCGCCCGCGAAGGCGGTGAGGAGTGCAAAAAGGGCGGACAGCTAAGTGAGACGGCCGCCACGGCGAGGATGTAGAAGAGGGCGAGGTCGATAAAGCCACGCCCAAAGGGCCCCACCAAGATGCCCTCAGCGATCGCGGTCGCCCGGTCGATCTGGCGAGCACTGCGAGCACTGGTGGTGAGTGTGCGGCTGCCCGGTGACGGGCGGGTAGCTGATAGGGACAACGGGCGCCCGGTCTGTACCAGGGGCCGGGGCACTTGGCGAAGCACCAGCCGATGTAGCGCGTGCCGTGTCCCGCGGGAGCTTGCCGCCCTGGACGCCCGGCGGGAGGCCGCGCAGAAAGATGCCCACGACGGTGGAATTAGGCGGCAGGTGGTAGCTGCCGTCTGCCACACGCCGTTCCAATGCCTCAGCATCCGCCTAACTGTTGGCGGCCGCCCCGTCGAGGCCCAGCGGGAGCTCCTCGTCGAAAAAGTCCGCCCCAGGGCGAATCTTCGGCTGGCGATAGCGTTCCCACCTCTCCTTGGCCGAGATGGGGCGCCGTCGTGGCGATGTCGACACCCGTAGCCGCTGCGGCCCGGGACCCTGGGCGCTTCACTGGGCGGGACGCCCGCGCATGCCGAGGACGCCCCCGACGGAGCCGCCGCCGGAAACGATGAAGAAGCCCTCAAAGGCGTAGCCGAGGAAGACGAAGCAGGGGCTGGGGCGCCCGCTGAGGCACTGGGCGGGTGATCCCGCTCCGGATCCGCCCCCCGCTGCGGGACGACCACCTCCGGCGGCTGTTGCCCGGCCGGCTTGGGCGGGGGCGGCTGCAGCGACATCTCCCGCAGCTCACGTTGGATGCGGAGCTGCAGCATCTCGTCGTAGGTGACGTCAAAGCCCATGGGCCCCATGCCGGCCAAGGCCCGGAGGGCGTTCTCTTGATCAATCGCCCGACGCTGGCGGGCGCATTCTTGACGACCGTCACGCCCGCTGAGGGCGGGGCCGAGCCGAACATCCCAGAGGGTTGGCGCTTGGGCGTCGCCTGGTCGCCCGCCCCCGCGGCCGGCTCCAACACCAGCGGAGGTGGCGGGGCTTTGGCGAAGGCCTTGACCTTGGGAGCCGCCCCTTGAGCCACCAGCTCCGGCGGTGGCGACTTCATCTGCGGCTTGGCGCCCTTGGGCTTGGCCGGCGTGTCCCCCCGAAGAAGACGAGGTAGCCGGGGCCGGAGTCGATGGAGGCGGAGGGGGCGGCGCCATCCCCTGCTGCTTGGGCCACCGGACCGTGGCGCCCGCCGGGCAATATGCCCCGAAGGGCATGGGAAAAGTCGTGTCTGGCGGGGCCTTGGGCACGGCGCCGTCGAAGTCGGCGAGGTAGGCGTCCAGCCCAGTGTCGCCCTCCAAGCCCTCGTCGTCATCCTCCGGGACGGGCAGGCGGAGGCGTCGATGTGCCCTATGCCCGGCGGGGCGTCATCGTGGTGGATCGCCGCCTCCTGATCCAGCCAGTACTTGCGGGCTTCCTCGGCGGAGGGCCCGGGCACCACAGACGACGATGCCCCAGATGGGGCCAGCCAAGCCTTGGCGGGCATTGCGCCCGGCGGCGCCCCCGAAACCGCCGAAGGGACCGGCAAGGCCGTGCTCGCGGGTGGCGTAGTCCCTGATGAAGACGGCGGCGACGAAATAGGAGGCGTCGGAGGCCCGGCTGCGGGCTGCGCCGCCGAGCAGGCTGCCATCAGGCGAGCCAAATCGTCCACCGACAAGGCGTTGACGGCCGCGGTGAGCTCCCCGTTGGTGGCCCCAGCCACAAAGGTGGCGATGAACACATGGGCCTCAGTCTGAGTGCCCACTGCCACCCCGCCAGTGGCGGGAGGAGCGCCCAAGATGGGCGAAGCGAAGCCGGCGATCACTTCATCGTCCTCGTCGCCCGACTGGGCGCCCACAGACGAGGGCGGAACCCAGTCGAGAACCTCGGCCTCAGTGGCCGCTGCGGCCGCCCGGGCGGCATGGGCGGCGTCGGCGGCTGCTCCAGTCGAGGACATGACCAGAACACGGCGAGGCGAAAGGACGAGGGGAAACTCAAAAGAAGGCGATCGAGCCGGCAAGCTGCGGTTCGATCGCTGACGCTTGTTCCTACACGCACACGTGCGTTACACCGCAACTGTCTTGGACTGGCTCAGCTTCAGATATCCATGGCAGACACTTTGCTTTTTGTAACCTCGCCTTGGCCTGCAGTTCCATCTTGTCCGCTTCGGCACGTGCAACGGCCGTGGAGCAGATCTGCACACAGAGCTGAAATTCCAAAGCCAGGTGTTTTGTCTTTTTGCATGAGCTCTCGCATGCTGCATTCTCCGTCCTCTAGCTCTTCTGTGCCTCCAAGTCCTCCCAACTTGCGCATGGAATCCCAGAACAACTACCCAACAAAAACCGCTGCATTACCAGAACGCAGTAACGGTAGTGATAGCACTGACAGAAGCGACAGCAACAGTAACCACAGTAGCAAAGCCTTACAGTGCTTTGCCTTGCAGTGCCTTGTAGCCTGGAGCTGCCCGGAACTTTGCATTATTGGCCCTAAGTTGCTCATGCCCGGGGTCTGGGTCGCAATGGCTTTGCGGATAAGATGAGTCCGGAAAGGAAGGCCAAAGCTCGTGGGACCACATCCTGGAATTTGATGATTCGTTGGGCTGAATCCTCCAAACTCTCAGTTTTGGTGAACAGCCAAGCCAAGACGACAACAGGAAGAAAGGCCCTCCAGGGGTTAGCTGCGTTATTGGAAAACTGTTTCCTTAGAACTCCAACGACATCTGGGAACTACTCCTGCAAAGCCTGCTCCGAACACTGCAACTTGGTCGTGAGCTCGTCGTTTGTCGCCTCCAGCCGGACACTAGGCCACGAGGCGACACTCATGATGGCATTGTGCATGGCACTGGACAGACTGACAGCAGGCTTCTGCCCCATGCAAGTTCTGAGAAGCTCGGACTTAAATGCTGCCCATTCTTCAGCTCCAGCAAACCAGAAAAATGTGAAAACTACTTGTGCGGAAGTCTGGAGCAAGTTGCCTGCAGTTTCTCCGCTGCGAGCACAGATTCCCGGAGCTCACTCTCATGACTCTCGACCTGCAGGCCAAACCCAACTTACGCGGCCATTTCTGCGCTGACTGCTTCCGCTGCCTTCTTTCGGGCAGCGACGAGCTGTGCGGCGGCATCGGCAGTTTCGGCCTTTCGCCAGCCAATTACATAAAATACTTCGTGGTCACTGTAACCACATATACATATCTATCCATCTCTCTCTTTCTCTCTCTCTCTCTCTCTCTCTCTCTCTCTCTCTCTCTCTCTCTCTACATTTGTTTCTTTAAGCTGTTTATGTATTTGTACATATAAAAGGTATACCAGCAGCTGCCTCGAGGGTTTGCGATACGGCCGTGAGCTTTTGCTGCTTTACTTCTACCTGATCGCGCAGAATTCCGGGATGACAGCGCGCATGGCGGTACACAAGAAGGGCCTGCGTCTGAAGCTCTTCCACCTGGGACTGCAATGCCGCGTTCGCATCCTTGCAAGCACTACATACTCGACATGATGCACCGGGTTTGTATGACATGCGGCTTTGCCTGCAAGGCCTGTGCTGCTGCAACCACCTGCAGAAGATTGACTAGTCAGCAACATCACACCGAACTTGAACAGACAAGGTTGGGCAAACCCTCACTTGGAAGCAATATGCTCGAATCACGGGGTTTGGGAAGGGCTTCATCCTGGGTATCGAAGCAGCTTCTCGTTTGATCGCAGAAGGTTCCTGACATCAGGCTTTGCAAGGCCAAAACGAGGCAGGATTGGAGTGCCGGTTCCACACCCGTTAGCAAACACAATGCTTCAATGACGGGTTTGGAAGACAGGCACTGCATCACCGCGTTTTGACGGCCGCAGCTGGGCCTCTGGAAGCACACTTGCGGAAGCCTGAGATGGCAGGAGGACACCATGTATTCTCCCGAGGCTGAGATGTTGGTGTAAGAGGCATCGGCTTGGCGCGCGGACAAGCTCTGCCGAGAGTTCAGCTGAAAGCTTCAAGTGCCGCTGATATGCCGAAGAGCTACTACTTCTCCACGAAGCGTTTCAATCAACTCCTTGCTTGCCTCCTGCAGCTCGAGAACGCTTGGAACGCATGTGCAAATACCACGAGACAAAGACCTGTCCTTCTCCTGCACGGCCGCCAAAAGCTCACCGCGAAGCTCAGCGAACTGAGCACAGACGTCGTGGTTGCCCACAGTGCTTAGCAGATTATGCAGATTCCAAAACAGCTCGGCGATATGAGATCTCCCAAGCATGCCTATACCACTGCGAACGTCCCAACGACGTCGTTAAGCTTAATGCGGGCCTGCTTAGATGACCTTCGACTGTGGTATTTGTAGCCTGTCTGGTTTTGTCTTGGCTGTTTGTTCCTGCCACAACGGACATCAACCCAGCTGTGCAACCCAACAGCAGAACGCCCGCGATGGTGTTCGGCAGTACGAGACAGGGGCTGTAGTGTGCAGTTGCTACATTCGCAATGTACTTTGCGATTCACGAAGCTGCACAGGAACAACGATTCACCCTAACTTGTGTAGAGCACCTTTTCGTGAATGATTTCCGGACTTCGTAGATCGGTCATTTGCGCGGCGGGCTATCCTCGACCTTTCAAGGACACCATTGCCTGAATCTTACTTTCCAACTGTTGTTGCCCTGCTTCACAACTCCCGCCATAGTGCCCGCCTCACACTTTATCTCTTCTTTCTTGTGTTGGGCTTCTCGGTGTTGTCAGGTGGCTGTGCGGGCTGTGCTGGTCTGAGACAAATCATTGGCGAGTCAGGCTCCTCCTACATCATGAGGCAACACACTGTTTTGCATGGTAAACATCGTATTTCAACAACTTCACTTCCTGCTGCATCGCAGGTCGTGCGAGCAGCAAGCGTGCGGGTTTTCACCACCAAGAATGTCCGGACTTGGCATTCCCGATCATAGGCGAGGCAAAAGACAACTTCAATTCTGCCCGCAATTGTCTTGGACTGGCTCAGCTTCAGATATCCATGACAGACACTTTGCTTTTTGTTCCCTCGCCTTGGCCTGCAGTTCCATCTTGTCCGCTTCGGCACGTGCAACGGCCGTGGAGCAGATCTGCACACAGAGCTGAAATTCCAAAGCCGGGTGTTTTTGTCTTTTGCATGAGCTCTCGCATGCTGCATTCTCCGTCCTCTAGCTCTGCCGCGGCGGCTTGCTTCTGCGCCTCCAAGTCCTCCCAACTTGCGCATGGAATCCCAGAACAACTACCCAACAAAAGCCGCTGCATTACGAGAACGCAGTAACGGTAGTGATAGCACTGACAGAAGCGACAGCAACAGTAACCACAGTAGCAAAGCCTTACAGTGCTTTGCCTTGCAGTGCCTTGTAGCCTGGAGCTGCCCGGAACTTTGCATTATTGGCCCTAAGTTGCTCATGCCCGGGGTCTGGGTCGAAATGGTTTTTCGGATAAGATGAGTCCGGAAAGGAAGGCCAAAGCTCGTGGGACCACATCCTGGAAATTTGATGATTCGTTGGGCTGAATCCTCCAAACTCTCAGTTTTGGTGAACAGCCAAGCCAAGACGACAACAGGAAGAAAGGCCCTCCAGGGGCTAGCTGCGTTATTGGAAAACTGTTTCCTTAGAACTCCAACGACATCTGGGAACTACTCCTGCAAAGCCTGCTCCGAACACTGCAACTTGGTCGTGAGCTCGTCGTTTGTCGCCTCCAGCCGGACACTAGGCCACGAGGCGACACTCATGATGGCATTGTGCATGGCACTGGACAGACTGACAGCAGGCTTCTGCCCCATGCAAGTTCTGGGAAGCTCGGACTTACATGCTGCCCATTCTTCAGCTCCAGCAAACCAAAAAAATGCGAAAACTACTTGTGCAGAAGTCTGGAGCAAGTTGCCTGCAGTTTCTCCGCTGCGAACACAGATTCCCGGAGCTCGCTCTCATGACTCTCGACCTGCAGGCCAAACCCAACTTACCGCGGCCATTTCTGTGCTGACTGCTTCCGCTGCCTTCTTTCGGGCAGCGACGAGCTGTGCGGCGGCATCGGCAATTTCGGCCTTTGGCCAGCCAGTTACATAAAATACTTCGTGGTCACTGCAACCACATATACATATCTATCATCTCTCTCTTTCTCTCTCTCTCTCTCTCTCTCTCTCTACATTTGTTTCTTTAAACTGCTTATGTATATGTACATATAAAAAGTATACCAGCAGCCGCCTCGAGGGTCTGCGATACGGCCGTGAGCTTTTGCTGCGTTACTTCTACCTGATCGCGCAGAATTCCGGGATGACAGCGCGCATGGCGGTACACAAGAAGGGCCTGCGTCTGAAGCTCTTCCACCTGGGACTGCAATGCCGCGTTCGCATCCTTGCAAGCACTACATACTCGACATGATGCACCGGGTTTGCATGACATGCCGCTTTGCCTGCAAGGCCTGTGCTGCTGCAACCACCTGCAGAAGATTGACTAGTCAGCAACATCACACCGAACTTGAACACACAAGGTTCTCCCAACTGTGGCATGCCTGTTCTTCTGCACAGGCATGCTGCAAGGCCTTCGCCCTGGCGTCCTGTGTGGTATCCGTGACAGGAGGCGAGTGGTATGCCGTTCGACGCTCCATCTTTCGGATTGTTTGAGGGAGCTCCGGCTCTCCTGCAAAGCCTCCTCGGAGCACTGCAACTTGGTCGTGAGCTCATCGTTTGTCGCCTCTGCACAAAGGCTCCGAAGCAGGCCGCTGATTTCTACAAACACAAATCGGACATGTGTCGGTCTCAGCTGTACGATCGCTGCAACAATAGGAAACACCATTGGAACACCATCCAGTTAGACATGGCACCGCACGGGACGCAAGCGCTACATAACTACGTAAGTCCTCATTCGCACCCGGGATCTGGATTGTCGGGGTAAGAACTGCTTGCAGGGCTTCAGCTCACTAGCTGGAAAGGCTCGAGCCTCTGCATTCTCAAGATCGCGGCGAACTTGGTCAGTCTCCGACTGCTGGATCTTCAGCCTGTGCTGCGATCTGACTTTTTTTTGAGGGCCTAACGGCCTAATTGCGTGCTTCAGATGCCAGATCTGATTGTAACATGGCCTGGTGCGTAGATCCGTCCTGTCCTCGGCAACCCTTCGCAAGGCGTGAAGCACCTGCACGTTTTGAATCGCTGTACAGACGAATTGGCAAACACCTCCCATCGCACAGGTGCAAACGGAAAGCTGGGTGGTCACTTCTGACTGCGGTCTCAACAGTGTGCCCGCGTATATATTATATGGCGCTGTCTGTTGCCATACCCGCCATAACCATAACCGTCGTCCTGATTTTTTCGGCTAGTTGAACCTCCGCGACCACTGCTGGTTGGTCCAGTCCTTTCAGCCGTTGAAAGTTGAAATTGCGATTTTTCTAGTGTAGGCTTCTCAGCATGTCACGCCGGCTTCTGTAAGTGTCTCATGCTCCACTATGATGTTGATGATGTTTGCGCTTCCAACAAAATGATGCACACGTTGACCTCAGCAAAAGATATGCTTCGAGGGTCTGCCATATCGGAAAAATACTCCATAAGGCATATGTTGTTTTCTAACTACTGTAAATGCTACAAGGTTGGCAAAAATCTTGGTGCTCACCTTGGGGTCGCACTGCCAAAACTTCCACGGTTTCAACAGTAACTCGTTCCGCCCTGGCGCGGTTGTGTCCAGGCTTGGGTGCCAGAACTATCCGACTATCCTTCCATCCACAAACATGCAAGCGCCTTCCCCGTTGTCCACAGCTTTTGTCGCACAGCCGTGAATCTTTATGTGTTGAGTGCATGCTTCAGTGGATCCTTTTGGCTTCGTTTAGTTTCTATGGCCTTATGGCAGACCTTCCGATTCATCTGGGCCAGAGGTGCAAACAGCAGATGGTCTCTGGCAACATAGCACTTTCTCTGTTCTCCTAGCTGTTAGCAGAGTTGCTGGGAACTGACCTTCTCCATGTCTTCTGACTGCAAGCGTCTGTCGCTTTGACCGCTTGTCACGACAGCAGCTCTCTGTTGCTGCACCACTGTCATGCTTTCATTTTGCAGGTTCGAAAACCTCCGAGTCTGGCTGCTGTCCTACATGCTGCTTGAGCTGCGTCGGCAGATTGCAGACTTGCCTCCTCCTGGACATCCAAGACGGAATTCACGTTGGCCATCTCATCTTCCAAAAGACCCTGGTGCGCGAGCAGTTTCCACGGTCATAGAGTCGGATGAGCACCGTCTCCTGCGTATCGGCGACATGCTCGCGGAAGATAGCCACCACTTCTTCCTCAGGTCCAGGGCAGCAGTCTTGAGTCCAGGCAGTTCCATGAGGTTGAGGCTGAGGCTGCAGAGGATGAGGATGCAGTGGTCTCTGACACATCGTCTCTTCGAGTTTCGACCTCTGTCACAGCTTTGAGCACAGAGAGGGGGGCTTCGCAGAAGGCTCAGCTCATTCAGATGCCGACGTCCTTTTTCGATGCAAGGACCCCTCAAAACAGCAAGAAGATTCGGCAACGTCCGTGCAGTCTGTTCTGGCTTTTCTAGCGGCCCTGCAAGTGGCCTGTGGAGAGGGCCTCTTCGCCGATTGTCGCGTTTAGAACCTCGGCCACATGTGCGCATGCCCCTCGTTTCGATTCGACGCCAGGAAGTCTCTATGGAACCTTTCTCCTGCGAAGCAGCCTCTCTGCACCACAAGCTGGACCAGCCAAGTACTGTAGTTTGAGCCCTCTCCAACCCTGGTGCAGTGACACGGCGAATCGCTGCAGTGTAGTTCAACTGCAGACTCTCGAGACTTTGGAACTTGAGCCCTTCTAGGAGCATCCCAAGAGTCCCAAAAATGACCCCATGCCACACACCCGCTCCGAGACTCCAGACAGCTTCAGCCCTGACCCGTCGGAGCTCTTCGCCCAGTACATGTGACCTGTTGGGCTGAGATGGGCACCCGCTCAACTACGGTTCTTACGCTGCCAGCGAGTGGAAAGGTTCTCAATCATTTCGCTGTCCTATTAGGTGGAGGAGAAAGGTTTTCGGCATTTCGGCTAAACCTTCCGCTCAGGAGAAGCCAGCACATAGAAAACTTGAGAACCACAGGCAGTGCTTAGGTGTGTTTGGAGTGTCGGTACCCACGACCTGTTGTCTTCTATGATGTTCTAGAATGAATGAAGGCACAGGTTTCTAGGCAACTCGATGATGTAAGAGCTCCATGCAATCCTGAGTATCGCCGAGCGTGTCTTTCATCCTTGGCTTCTTGTGTCGCTGCGCGACGCTAATTTTTCGGTGAGGGCCAACACAATCATCGAAGAATATCTCAGAACCGGCAGCTTGAGTGCCAGTCTTGCGGGACGTAATGAAAGAGCTGCGGTTTCTGTGAAAAGAGGCCAGTGGCTGTCGTGATTCTTGGATTGCAATGCCCGCTATGCTGAGCAAAGCTACGGCAGCACGGGTCAACTTTGGGAAGGGGGCCCCTTCACGAAATGAGCGACGAACGAGGCAAGCTCGACTACACGCACAGATCATGATCGTACACCCTTCGGCGCTCCACGACATTTCAACAAACCGCGCAAACTGCGGGCCATCTTTCTCCCTGATCGACACGACCGAATTAATCGGGACTGATGTATCAAGAGTAAGGGGCGCCCAAACTCGCCTTTAGGCCAAAGCCAAATCTGAAAACAGCAACTCCTGCACAAGTTCCGAAGGAGCTAGCTTGCGTGATTTGGAGCATGACATCATGCAAAGATTCCAGGCACTGCTCACTACCCTCGATGGCCCATCTGCGGGCGACAGAACCCAAAGGACTTGCTCTCCTCAGGAATCCTAAAGGCCTTAATTGTGTGTGTCGAAAGCGCCTGAAAGAGAAAGCCTAGAGATCTCATAGCTCATAGTGCACGAGTGCCATAAGAGAACAAACTATTGAGAGAAGGCGAAGAAATCGAGACAGTGACGAGCACCGATCATGGACTAAGTTTCGACACCAACAGCCGTGCTTTGGCACCTCCGCCGCTCCTCCAACAACGCCTGGTGCTGAGTCTCGCTGACCTTTTGCACCGTCCTTGGCAGCAAAAGCTGTGAGAAGCGGAAACAGGACCATAGTCAAAGCTGTCAAGTTGGATCGGCAAGCGCTTGCCGCAATGTAGGACAAGGCAGCAACTCTGACATACCCTGATCTCATGTTGCAAAGATTCGACGATGCAGGCATGCGGACAGTGAGTGACAACTTCCGCCTCAAAGTGCAGAGATAAGCACATGAGCCGCGGGCTGCAGCTTGCGTGTTGCCATGCACAACGCTCGCTGCACATCTCCCAGCTCCTCCGCCCAAGCATGCAAAGAAAGGCAGTAAAAACGAGCCATGGAACAGAGCCTTCTCGACAGCAGCTCTCGTGCCGTTGGCTTTCTCCAGCTCCTTCTTGTAGCCCTGCGGCTGAGGCATAGGTTGACTAAATGGCTCGTACGCAAACCGGCCTCGGCTTCGAGGACGGCTTGGACCGATGCTGTTTTTGCGGCCTGTGCATGAATCTAGCACTCGCACTCAGCATCGAATATGCACTGCACGCAACAATTCGCCTCCTCTTCCGCCTCCGCCACTGCCTTTGTGTTGCTTTCATTGCATTCTTCCGGTGACAAGCACTTGCAGGAATCAACAGGGTCTAGAGCCGTGCGGGTGGTCCTCTCATGTCCGTATGGAGTTTCGGAGTCTCATCGGCCAGCAGCTGGGAGTTTGCGAGCGAGACTATCCGAAACTTGACACGGGGCGTCATTCGAGCGCAAGCTCAGACGTCAGCTCGATGGCCCGATGGGAACCAGCCAGAGAGCTCTTGAGTGCGGAATCTGTCTCTTGACCCTCTGCCGACTCGCCATGCTCGCAGCAGGGTTGCCTACCCAATGCTCCGAACTAGCACTTGCTAAGCACCGAGAAGCGAGCTCGGCGAAGCTCGCTGGCTTGGATTGTAGCGTTCAGAACCTCGGCCACAACATGTGGGCATGCCCCTCGTTTCGATTCGACGCCAGGAAGTCTCTATGGAACCTTTCTCCTGCGAAGCAGCCTCTCTGCGCCACAAGCTGGACCAGCCAAGTACTGTAGTTTGAGCCCTCTCCAACCCTGGTGCAGTGACACGGCGAATCGCTGCAGTGTAGTTCAACTGCAGACTCTCGAGACTTTGGAACTTGAGCCCTTCTAGGAGCATCCCAAGAGTCCCAAAAATGACCCCATGCCACACACCCGCTCCGAGACTCCAGACAGCTTCAGCCCTGACCCGTCGGAGCTCTTCGCCCAGTACATGTGACCTGTTGGGCTGAGATGGGCACCCGCTCAACTACGGTTCTTACGCTGCCAGCGAGTGGAAAGGTTCTCAATCATTTCGCTGTCCCATTAGGTGGAGGACAAAGGTTTTCGGCATTTCGGCTAAACCTTCCGCTCAGGAGAAGCCAGCACATAGAAAACTTGAGAACCACAGGCAGTGCTTAGGTGTGTTTGGAGTGTCGGTACCCACGACCTGTTGTCTTGTATGATGTTCTAGAATGAATGAAGGCACAGGTTTCTAGGCAACTCGATGATGTAAGAGATCCATGCAATCCTGAGTATCGCCGAGCGTGTCTTTCATCCTTGGCTTCTTGTGTCGCTGCGCGACGCTAATTTTTCTGTGAGAGACAACACAATCATCGAAGAATATCTCAGAACCGGCAGCTTGAGTGCCAGTCTTGCGGGACGTAATGAAA